AAATAATATTTTTATAAACAAAAATTTATAAAACATTAAAAACAATCCAACAAGCTCACCAAAAATGTATAACATTAAAAAGAAACAAATTTTTTCCTCATATTCATCACAAATAAACATATTTTTGTAAAAAAAAATATAACATTAAAAACAATTTAACAAGGTCACCAAAAATATATAAATTTAGAAAAAAGAATAAATTCTTTTTTTCTCATATTCATCGCAAATTTCATATTTTTATAAAAACAAGTGTTTTAAGAACCCTAAAATCGAGCCAAATAATATAAAACCTTTATAGTCGAAATCAACCTCAAATCTTTCATTTTTTGAACAAATTGATATGGGAATATGATAGATACTTCAATTAAGATTCAATGCTCCAAATTTCATGAAAACTTATTCACTATTGAGATCTTTATTCAAAAAATTGCGAATTTTTTACTTCACGAAAATTTTTAGAAAAAACGCAGCAAAAAAAAATCGATATAAAAAAATTTAATCAATTGTAAATCAAAATAACTAGTTCATTTGATAGATGAGGACTTTATGATCAAACTTCAGAGATTAATTCGATAAAAATAGATAAATTGATCGATCGGAAATCAATTTGTTTGGATAAAAACAGTTCTTCGAGCAGCAGTACTTTGGGCCCAAAAAAACCTCAAATATTCATCGTTTTGGAAAATTTGAAATTATGTAAATATTGAATCCTTCAACAATCAATCAAAGCCCTCCATTTTTATAAAAATATATAAAAACTCTTTGTTTTTCGACTTTTGATTCAATAATATATAATCTATAGAAAATTTATGGTGTATAACATCAATATTTGATTGAAAAAACAAGAAAAACTACAAAAATGGAAGAAAAAAAAAGCTGCAAAATCTTGATCTATGAAAATAACGGGCCTGTGTCAAATAACGACCGTTATTTTATGCATTATAACGCACGAAAACAACAGTAAACCGGACCGGTTAGGAAAACCGGCCGGTTTTGAAGAAAAATCGCCGGTTCGACATTGAACCGGCCGATTTTGGTCCCGATTTTTTTTTTAGAGTGTTCCGTCTTACCATGTGTACCGCAAAACCGGCCCTAACCGTAATCGCCAAGCCATCGATCTAACCGGCCGGTTCCGGTTCTAGCTGGCCAGTTTTGCGAACACTGAGATCAATAGATCTATGAAAAATTGAAAATCTTGAAAATTGACGGTCCAAAAATGTATTATAAAACACATTACTTCCAAAACTTAAAAAACATTTTTTTTTCTTCTGATGCCTGTGCATCTTGATGTCAAGATGATCAATTTGAGGGTATTTGGGCATCAAAACAACCTCTTCTAGTGAAAGTTTTTAAGTAAGCTCAAATTTAATTGTTTAGAACCTCGGCGCTATATAAACTTTTCCCTTAAATACAACTCCTAAAGAGAGAAGGTACTAAAGATTTGTAGTTTAGGCTAAGCAGATACGAGAGAGAAAGCCATTGGTGATTGGCCTAGTATCAAGATTAAGATATACTTGCGAACCTTTGTTACGTGGAGGGGGATTATTTGAATGTAATCAAATGGTAAGGAGCAATGTGTGCCTTGGCATTTGAGATCAATCTAACTTCAAATTTTGGATTTCATGGGATCCTTGACAGTTTCTTTTCATCATCTCTGTAGAGAGGCTGATGATATAGTAGACTCCCTTGCTAAGAGGGGTGCGGCTTTATTTCAATTGCTATATCGGAATATGTAATTTCTCTTATGTAACCTTCTTTCATTAATAAAATTTTGGATATTGTCAAAAGAAAATTATGATAAAAATTAACATTCATGCTTAGGGTTGGTTGTTTCTTATGTAGCTCGTAGTTTCCAGCCGCATGTAAATACGCACTTCGAAAGTGCACAAAAAAAGGCACTATAATGAGGTGAACCCATCAGCCCCAAAGCACATCCGGGGTCTGTGACCTCCAATCATACAGACCTCCAATCATTAATTGGGGTGCCATCCAAACCTTATTTGAAAAAAAAAAAAAAAAAAGAAAGAAAAAAAAGGCAAGAATTTCAAAGTCTCTAATAAAAAAAGAAAGTATACCAATATAAGATGTTCAAATTAATATTGACAATTGAATATGAATGTTGATTAAG